ACCATTCAGAGAAAACAAACTACTATAACAGCAACACTACCAAACCACAGCAGATAAAGAAACATAATTAAACTCAGTCAAAGCTAAGTGCTACACCACCGATAACTGCAGAAAAGAAAATGCCAAAAATGATGTAGACAGAGTGAGCCTTAACAATGGTTAAGGTAAGCAATAATGCACACACACACATACACACACATATATACACATATATATGTATATGTATGTATGTATGTATGTATGTATTTATGTATGTATGTATGTATGTATATCAAGCCCGCTCAGTCAGTCAACAGGTTCTCCAGCACAGGAGTGAGGATTAAAAGGAAAGAGATGATTAGACAAAATTCCAGCATGACCCCAGCCAGTTCTAAGGCTGAAGGCTGAGGCAGGTTTGTTCCCACTTTTCTTTTAAACTCTTTTAATTACATGCAAGTATTTAGGTCAGTTTTAGGTTGAGGAACCAACAATACAATAGACACAAACAGTTGAGAAACAAACAAGGCAAATATACAAAGTCCCGTGATCACTCTCGCTGTTTCTAAGGGCTCACCCGGATGACAAAAATATCTGAGCCTACTTCCCAGTCCCAGCCCAAAGTCATATTCATGCCTGAGGCCTACTTCTTTGTTCTAGCCTAAGACTTGGATTCCTGACTGAAATTACTTCTCTGTTTTAGCCTAAAATTAGATTTCTGCCTGAACTTACTTCCTTGTCATGGCCCAATGTCAGATTCCACCTAAAGCTCATTTCCTTGTCCTTGGCCAATGTCAGATTCCTGCCAAGCAGCCCCAAAAGCTCTCCACAATATATATAATAAAATAGAGCTGGAAAGATGGCTCATGGTTAAGAGCGCTAACCACTCTTCCAGAGGTCCTGACTTCAATTCCCAACAACCACTTGGTGGCTCACAACCATCTGTAATGAGATCTGATGCCTTCTTCTGGTGTGTCTGAAGACAGAGACAGTGTACTCACACACATAAAATAAATAAAGGGACAGGGAAGGGGAAAAAGAAGAATGTGTAGAAGAGGGAGGAAGCAAGAAATGAAAACTGAACAGGGAGCCGGGTGGTGGTGGCGCACACCTTTAATCCCAGCACTTGGGAGGCAGAGGCAGTCGGATTTCTGAGTTCAAGGCCAGCCTGGTCTACAGAGTGAGTTCCAGGACAGCCAGGACTACACAGAGAAACCCTGCCTCGAAAAAAAAAAATTAAAAAAAAAAAAAGAAAACTGAACAGGAAAGAACACTTTGTAAATAATATCAGACAAAAGCTTTTTTTAAAAAAGTTAAAAAATAAATAAACAAACCTGGGCTGGTGAAATAGCTTGATGCAAACCTGGAGATCTGAGCTGTGTTCCTGGAACCTACATAGAAATAGAAAGCCAGCTCCACAAAACTGTCCTCTGACCCCCACATGACCTTGGCACATGTGCCCACACGTTCATACACATATGCACACTAAGAGTTTTTAAAGATTTGTTTTCATTTTTTAAGTGTGTGTGTGTGTGTGTATGTGTGTGTGTGTGTGTGTGTGTGTGTGTGTGTGTGTGCAAGTGTCCAAAGGGGCCAGAAAAGGGTGTGGGATCCCTAAAGCTAGAGTTATAGGTGACTGTGAACTCCCCAACTTGTGCTGGGACTTGAACTTGGATCCTCAGCAAGAGCAGTAAGTGTCATCTGTTGAGCCTCCTCCCCAGCCTCCGACACCCCTCCTGATCTTCATTTCTGATATTTTATAACACATGTAAATGAGGTTTTGCCCTCACCCCATCCCACCCCAGTCTAGGAGTGCGGGGGAACAAGGGCTGGGGCTTAGTTTTATTTCTGTTCCCTGTACAGCTTGTCTTTCTCTGTCACCTCTTTTGGAAGTCCTGCTGCTCCTCTGTCTTCCTCTTTGGAATTAAAAATCCCCGCCACCACCCCTTCCCATTACCATGACACTTCTCATTCACAGTCACACACTGGCAGTTTCTAACATGTCACCTCTTCAGAAGTCTAATTTTCAAGAGATCTCAATTTTGTTCACATTTGTTCTTTCATTTCCCCGTCTGGGTGTTAGGGGAAACCAGTATCTTGTCTTCACTTTCCCACCTCGGGCACTTCGGGAGCCTGTGACCTTGGAGGTGTGTGGGTGGCTCCAACATCCAGCAGCTCTGAGGCTGTAGGTACCAGGAGGGCATCCCCCAAACCAAGGAGGCTCTGACACTCTCTTGGTGGCCTCCATCTCCGCAGGCTGGGCTCAGTCCCCAGGCTGCCTGCCCCCTTTAGACACTGTCACAGCACCAGGCATCATACTTATTCCCCTGATCAACAACCACAAACCAGGACGCCCACAACCACCTCCCCATCTTCACTTAATTATCTCAAGCAGCTAAGGGAACTCAGGGGAAGACTCTCTCAAGCCTATTCATTTGTTGCAAGAGAAACTGCCAAGCATACGGATGAAAAGGTGCTTAGAAGGATGTGTGGGGAAGGAAGGATGCATCCCTGCCCTCTCCAGGTACTCCCAATTTCCAGAAACTTCTCTGGGTTGAGCTGTCAAGGAATCTGGGAACCCAGAACTTTCTGGTTCCTGTGCAGACTCTAATTCCTGTAAATGACCGGGGTGGGGGGGGGGGGGCCACAATCAAGGGCTGTCTGCTCAGGCGCTTCCTGCTGCTGAGAGCCAAGAGCATTGCTCCAGGGCATAGGGCGGAACTCCTGGGAATAAGGAGGTCATATGATCACCTTGGGACAGGGTAGGTCTGAAGGTCTCTATGATCCGCTCCAAGACAAAAAGGCAGAGAAAGACAAGGATGTCTGTAGCCTGCCTTGGGGAATGTGATGGTTCATCCCTGCTGTAAACCTGACACACCTGGGAACAGGGAACTTCAACTAAGCAGCTGCTTCTCTCAGTCTGGGCTTTGTGCTTGTCTGTGGGGCATTTTCAGGACAGCTAATTAATGTAGGAGGGCCTAACGCACTTGGGGCAGGACCATCCCTAGGCCGCTGGGCCTGGGCTATACAAATAAGGTAGCTGAGGTGAAGCTAGGAGACAGCCAGTAAGCAGTATTCTTCCAGTATCTGCTTCAAGCTCCTGTCTTGAGTTCCTGCTTTGGCTTTCCTACATGGCGGGTTGTAACCTACAAAGTGAAATAAACCCTTTCCTCCCCAAGTGCTTTGGTCATGGTGTTTACCATAGCAACAGAAAGCAAGCCAGGACGTGTAAGATAATTCTAGATTTTGTGTTCTACCACCGTGCATGGGGAGGGGCCTGTGAGCAAGGAACCTTGAATAAAAACGAAAGGTGTATGTTATCACAGCATGCACTGTTAATAGCATCCAGGAAGGTCACCTCCTCTCCTTGTTCTGGTGACATCAATCGGTTTCACTTTTTGTTTAGCATGAGTACATGTTCATGGTGGCTGTGTGTGTGCACATGTGCACCCATGCACAGGGAGGCCACAGGTCCCTCATGTGACATTCCTCAGGAGGATACTGTTTCTTGAGACGTTGTCCCTCACTGGGACATGGAGCTCACTGATTATGAAAGGCTGGCCAGTCAGTCCTGGGGAACCCACCATCCCTGCCTCCCCAGGAGGAGGGCTACAAGCATACACCCTCATGCCCTGCTTTGTATGTGAGTACTGTGAGCTGGACTCAGGTCCTTGTACTTTCCACAGTGGCTACTGTATCAACTGAGTGGACTCCCTTGCCTTCAAAGAGTTTTACCTGATGTTTTTGTCTATGTCCAGCCTCTAGCTCTCTCTCCAGTCAGTTGTTTCTGGATTGTACTGGGTAGCAGGTTATGTGGTTTCCTCCCTGTCATGCCCAGAGCTCTGCCCAGTGTGGCTTGTCCTCCAGCTCCTTCACTGCCACCATAGTTCCAAAGATTAGGAAGCCAAGACCACTGGTCCCTCCAGATGCAGGGGATGGCACTGAGTGAAGGGGCCAGATCTCAGTGTTCCCTGCTGCTGGCATAGCCCTAGGTTTTCAGTTCCCTTGTCCTTCAGTTCCTGGCTTTCAGAACATGATTACTGTTCCTCCCTCTTTTTAATCTCCTAAATATAGTTTTAGATGAGGGACTTGTATGATGTTATGGGGAGGTTTTAGGGGGTTTTTTGTTTGGTTGTTTTTTTTTAAATCGCAAAATCAAATTCAATCCAGTGTGTTAATGAGAGGCCCTCACAACCGTGCCTATAATAAGCCATAAGTGGTATATTGATTTCATAGGACAATTTCCTGCATCACAGAGAGAGCAGGAGGGGGAGGGGCCTCAGACATCTACCCCTACTGATGCTGCCAAACCATCAGATTCGAGCAGGCAGATGTACTCTGCTGGATCCACCTCTCTCCAACCCCACCCAACAGCACCCTGAGTGAGTGGGAGCAGGTTTGGCAAAACATAGCACACTTGCTGAGAAGAGCCTTATGTGGCACCCAGCTGAGCTGCAGGCACTGGGCTCCTAGCTGTCTGGGGATGACCCTCATGTAGACAGACAGGGAGCTGCTTGGCTGGACTCTGCTGTGGAGCTTTACAAACATTGGCTGTCCAGGCTGAAGTCTTAAGGTGGAAATGTAACCTCTGCTCAAAACTCATGGTGCAAAGAATTGGAGGGTAGTTGGGGGAGGGCTGGGAGTGACTGATATCCTAAGCTGCCTGAGCTCCTTGGGGAAGATGATGTTAGCTAGAGGCCCTATGAATGGGTGTCCAGAAAGCAGGCTCGAGAGTGGGCTTACAGGTGAACATGGATTTGACTAGTGCAAGAGGGATTGGAACTCCAGACAGGAACAGAATGGTGGCAAAGGCTGGGGAGCAAAGACAGCACTTGTGTTCTGGGCTCTAGAAAGCCCAGCATCAGGAGACAGCCCATCTCAGGTTCCCTTAGCCTGTATTCTATCCAAAAGATGGCTCAGTAAAGGCAGTACATGTGGAGTTGCCCGGTTTGGTACATACCACTCTCCCCCTGTTCCATCTCTTCCCAGCCCCCTTGACCACCACCCTTTCCTCCCCTACTCAGGAACTGGATGTTACATATCAAGATGCAGCCAGCAATGTGTTACTGGCCCTCTGCCGGCATTCATGGCCAGCAGTGGCCAAGCACTTGGAGACGGAGCTCCTGACGGGTGTCTTCCCACACCGCAGCCTGTTTTATGTGATGGGCGTCCTGCTCTCTCAAGGTACATGCTGCTATAGGGTGGATCAAGAGACAGGCAACAGAAGGAGACCATGAAGGGCCTCTGGGACCACCTTCTACCCATGGCTATAGTTATACATGGGTCATGCAGGATGGAGCCCTAAGCCCCAAAGTCCAACCAGCCCTCTCAGCAGCTCTGAGCCCCATGATCCACAAGCCCTCAATAGCCCCTGGCCATTCTACAGACCTTCCCATGGAAGGGGAAAGGACCTCTACACCACTGTCTGATAGAATCACGTTGTTGTTGGTCCAGGAGTTGGTCCAGACCCTGTGAGATGAGATTGTCACTCTGCCCTGACACCCCCTATACTGGCTGTGTCACATTGCTCTCCCTTGGACACACAAGGCAGATGAGAATCTCAGCTCAAAGAAGTAGCTTCGATGGCCAGGGTTACTGAGGTTGCCTTACATCAAACCCTGCTTTCTGCCTGCTTCATTCAGTCACTTCATTTATTCACTTTTTTCACATGCATGTGGTATCCTTTAAAATTCCCAATCGAGAAGGCACTGGCTGTGACAGGGCCAGCTGCCCAGAAGGCCCGCTATAGAGGGCTTCCAATAGGAGGCAAACAGTGTGAGCCACATCTTGTCAGGCCTTGGGAGCTTCAGATCAGCAGCCAACAAGGTCAGGCAGGAAGAAGAAACAGGGCTCCAAAGATATTCTGGAAAGTCTGTGCTTAAGCCTGAGACCAGGCAGGATCTGGCTTTGCTCAGACTCCCCTTTTCCAAATTGACAAGCTGGGTGAGGGGGCCCTTCCAATACAGAGGGATTCCCCAAAGCAAACCTTCCCTACACGGTAGAATTTCTAATCTTCCTAGAAGGCCTTCAGTCCCACCAAGTGTCCCTTCCCAGCCTTACTTTTCCATACTTGAAGGGACCACCCAAAAGGCCATGCTTTCAAAGGACCTCCTCCATTTACCAGTGGGAAACAAGGTCCAAAGAAGGCAAGCAGCTTACGTGGATACAGCGTGCAGGCAGTACCAGGATTCCAATCCAGCTCTCTAGACCCCCACCCCCACTCCAGCTCATGGTCTTCCTACTGGAGGCTGTCCTACCATATCCCCGTGGATCCCACCAGGCAAGAGCAGATGGGGTCTGGGAGATGTGCAAGACCTGGACTGTAGCCTATCCTCTTCTCCCACAGAGGAGCTTCTCAAGATAGAAGACAGAAAGAACTGGAAAGATCTGCTTTCCCAGGTACAGAGGGAGCCCATCACCCCAGAATTTCTGAGGGCTCTCAGCAAGTGAGGGACAGCAAGCTTACACTGGAACCCCTTTTGCAGCTTTTGAGGAAGTAGGAAATGGGAAAGGTGGGGAGAATGAAGGAACTGGAAGGAGGAGGGGGAAATAGGGATGGCAAGAGGGTTGACAGAGTCTCGATGTACAGATAAGCACACAGCATAGCGGGAGGTGGTGGCTTGACCAAGGTCACCGTGAGAGCTAGGATTTGATCTTGGTCTCTAGACACTTGGCACAGAGTAGATGCTCAACACAGACAAGTTCATGTCACTCACCTTGGGGGGCTAGAAAAGACACAGGGGCCAGTGTTAAGGCCAGGGAAGAAGGGAGACGGGCTTGGGTGGACTGAAGATGTGACAGCCCCAGAAGCAGTCTCACGGCAGGCAGGCCCATCTCTGACTCCCAAGTGAGAGGCTTGTACTGGTTTGCACTCCAACGTCAGCTATTCACAACTGTGGCCTGGACTGACTTCCTTTCCCTCTCGGTTGCTTAGTTTACTCACCTGTGAAATGGGTTCAGAGGTGGTTGTGAAGGTCTTGTCCAGTGTGGAACCCAAGGAGCCCAGCTTAGTGTTGACTGTCAGCACTGTGGCAGGCAGCAAGCAGGGAAGCAGGAGTGGGTTGGACAGATTAAACAGAATGGCAAGAAATGGCAAGTCCTCATTGAGGACTGGAAGACCAGAGACATCACATTTGTCTGATTGGTGGTAGGACTTGTCTCTCTCTGCTACACACTAGCTGTGTATCAACATCCAATAAATTTAGAAAGACTAAAACCAAACAGAAGACTTCTTTGACCAAAAGTTAAACTAGAGGTCAGTGTTTAAAAATATATCTGAAAACATTCCAAATGCTTGGAGATTAAACAAGTAGCTTCTCAGTAAAATGTAGGGGATAAAGACATCTGAAGGAAAATTAGAAAAATATTTTTAAGTTGAGTGTTAATGAAAACATATTTAAACATCCTTAGGTACAAAATGCTTTTTTTTAATTAGTCAGGATATAAAATTTCATTGCTAGAAGCTACTGAGGGAGAACAAACTAAACCCAAAATATAGAAAGAAAAATGCACTTGATGCAGAGGCAGGAGAAATGTCCTAAGTATGAGGCCTGGTCTACGTAGCAAATACAAAGAAAGGAAAGCAAGTTCATCACAGAAGATCACCATACTGATTAAGAGGGGAGAAAATGTCTCTTTCAGCACAGAATAATTAACAACTGCACAAACACTCTCAGTATTAAGGGATTCCCTGCAAAACTCAGACTGTCAGAACTGAAACAAGAAGAAGCAGAAAGTCTCAGTAGTCCTGAGAATGACATGGAATCTTCCTGTTCCCAGCCAAGCCCATTTTGCCAGCTGCACAGCAAGCAAGCCAGTCACTGAATGGCATGCAAGAGTGATGTATTTATTCATTAGCTGCCTAGCAAGTGGACACAAGAAAGCAGGTCTGAAATCCACCCCCAAACCTGGGGAGAGGTGACTGGATCACACTTCATCCTAAGGTGGAAGGTGTCACCAATCAGCTGACAGTGACTAAGAGCAGGTGAGATCTGGTCTATCTATTCAGGATAGCAGCTGGCTTGTTGGGGTTTTCCTGAGAGTTGCTTCCAGCAAGGAAAATGCCCAGGTTACATGGAGGAATCCGATGGAGTTCTGTGACCCGGGAATCCAGCAGAGTTGTTCTGTGGACTCTGCACACCTCTACAGAACGTGCAGAGCAGCCATCCTTGTTCTAGCCTCAAACTGGAGACATGTAGGGCTGGCAGAGTTTGAACCCACAACCTGACGTCCACCTTAGGAAGCCCAGACTAGGGGAAACCACCTGAACACAAACCAACTAAAAACAACCAAATTACAAATCAAAAAAAGAAAAGAAAAGAAAAGAAAGGAAAGGAAAGGAAAGGAAAGGAAAGGAAAGGA